TTTGGTAATTTGCATATTTTTTTGAAATAAAAGGATATTTTGTCAAAAAGACTATCCAGTAGTTTTTGTCATGCCCTAGCCTATCTACCATAGGAATATGAGCGAAATCGGATTTTCGACCCTTGCCGAGTTATTTTCCATATTTATGGACAGGGACTCTTAATCGTTAACCAAATCAGACAGTGCAAAAATCCGAAGAAAAACATCTCCTTTATTCACCACCAATACGAGTATTTTCACTCTAGCACGGTACAAACAGTGAAGACAGAGGGCGAAGGTCATTTTTGCAGTTCGTCGTTGGCCCTAAGCGTCATTGATGGTTTTCATGATTGCTTTTTACGGCCTAAAAAAAGATCGAAATCCACTAATCGCCTCTCGCAGACTGACCTTTTGAACTTTATGTTTTTTCCTCAGAGGTCCGCTCTTATGAAAACAAGACCATGTCAATCATTTTTCTTTAAGTTAGCGCGGGAAATTTTGGCGAAGTTTGTGCAGAGGCAAAGAATGGCGGCGTTCAAGCTGCTCGTTCTCTCAAGCCTCAGTAGTCCACAACTGGCTGCCTTACATGTTTTCAATCCGTTTCTATTTTTTTTCCTGACTCGATCATCTAAAAAAAAAAACAGAAAAAATGGCAGTTTCATTTTTTTTTCAAAGAAGAATTGGCGAAGCATTGACACATACTTGAAACTTTTGTAAGCCACCTTTAGTGTAACAAATATGTAAAAAACATTGCCTAAGAAGATTTCAAGTGCTTCATCAATTAGCTATTAATTGTAGATTACACGAAATTCATAGTACTAGAAATGAAAGACACTGTCCTCCAGTACATAGCAGCCTCGGATATTTGACTGCCTCCGCTTTCTAATTGGTTATATCCACCTCAAAGCAACTTCTGATATTGCTTATAAATTAGAAATAAAGTCATCATGGTTGTTGTTTCATTCTTTTGGCTCTGCAAAAGGTTAACTTAAATAAAATTGACACCTTGTGAATTTTTCAAAGGTCTTAGTTTCTGAGATTCAGAGGGAGTCTTAGGTCTTAGTTTTTGAGATTCAGAGGGAGTCTTAGGTCTTAGGTCTTAGGTCTTAGTTTTTGAGACACCCACATAATAAGATCTTATCGCGGTTCAGCCAATCCCAGCAGCACAGCTAGTTATGCCTTGTTTGATGCAGATTCACGCGAGTCAGTGGGTTCACTCTGTTCACCGTACGAAACTCGAGATCTGGGCAGAAAAAGCCGTACCGATCTGAGATCGTGGTAAGAAGATTTCGTTTAAGGCTACTCCTACCATAAAAGAAGCGAGCTTTGATTTGGTTCAATAGACGTGTAACTTCTGAGCATGAAACTTGTAATTTTAACGGACTTGAGTACCCAGAGCTCCTCGGCCAAAGCAACTACATTAGCCGCTGTTCCGAAAATGAGCCCGCACTTCCCTCCATCTTTCAGTACTCGTGAAAAGAATCATATTTTGCTACGTACTAGCTGGGTGCTCGCAAGTTTTGGGAAATTACTGAACAAATTGATATAGGCTTTCAATTCGTGCAAACCATACTAACCAGGAAAAATAATTTGATTGATTACGCGCGTAGAATACAAAGTCCGTTGATCGATCGATGGCCCATTGTATTTGAAACTTAATAAACTTTTACGCCTTTTACCTGTCGAGTATATGAAACGTTTTTTTCCATCGATAAAAATAAACTCTGACTGAATACTTACACCACGAGGGAGCTAGTGAACTTAGACACTGGGGAGTATTCCAACGGATTAAGCATCTGTATTTACGTCTGAAGTCCTGTTAAATGTTAAAGAAGAGCGAAAAGGAGGCGTCGAATTGGCATGGAAGATGGAAGAGACGGGGTTAAGTCTGTAACCTCCACAAAACTATTTGAAATATAAAAGAACATAAGATGTGAATAAGGGATTGAGCAGTGCATTGAGTAATTCTGGAGCTCTTTTGTTGGTTTCCTGTTCTGACCCTGTTCTGCTGATTATCGTGCAGATTTTCGACTGAATACTTCATTCTTTTAAGCGTATGACTTTGCATCCTAATACTAAGTATTATTTTCTATAGCTAACAGTAATGTCTGTGCGGTTACTGATCGACAACCTCCGAGAAACGCGGAAGTATTGTATTTATCCATTAATAATGGTAACAGGACTGAGTGGAGTCCAATTTGGTCTGTAATCACACGAGTGATTAACAAAATCGGACGACCGCGTAGCGGGAGTCCGATTTGTTAATCACGATTTGTTAATCACGATTTGTTACCAATTAATCATAACAATTACAATTTCCCACAAAAGCAAAAATTCATTTGAAAAAGAGCGTTTAATAGTCATTTTTAAATATTATAATTAAAAATATGGAGAACAGTTTGCAAAATGGCTGTTAAGTTTCTTTCAAAACAGTCACCAGAGACTAAACCTCCACAATTTTACAAAGTCAGTCTCTTGAATTGGTTACCATAGTAGTTGTAATCAATGTTGTGATTGGTGGATTTAGTGGAGAGGACTTAAAATGATTGGCTCATGTAACAGGTGTCCGATTACAGCCAACTGTCCGATTACACTGTCCGATTACAGCTTTGCAGATTAATTAGAGCAAAATACAGCAGTTTATGCACCAATTACATTTGAGGAAATTGTAATTGTTATGATTAATTGCATAATAATGCACATATTTTATAGTAAACGAAACCTATCACTACTTTACCCTTGTCAGACTTTTGTTAATTGAACAAATGCACAAGATGAGTATTAGATTCAGTAAGTTAACGCCATTAAGGGCCAATCAACGATGGACTTCGTTACTTTTGCTCAACGACCCTGGTTTTTGTATCCTTTCTAATGAGCTTTTCTTAATGTAGTTAATCATTCGTTTGGATTATGCGACGTCTAAGCTGTTTGTCGCCAAGTAACCCTTTACCTTTTAGCTGTAAAGCCAAAGTTTTTCGCTATTTCTGTTTACAGTGAGGGAAAGAGAGTTTTTAACTTCGATTTCACAACGAAGGTCAGGGGAATCAGTGACCAGGAAGGCAAAGTGGTCATAAATAGAAATACTTGAAGCCATACTCGGTGTTTTGCCCGTTTCCAATAAATCAAGCCCAGTATGAAACTTTCCATTGCTTGAGATAAAGTGTTTCGTATTCATTTTGAATAGGCAACAATTTTTTCCCGTTTTGTTAATAAGGGCGAGGCCTTTCTAACATAAGATGAGTTTTGCGTTTAACTAAAGAATTGTTCAAAAACACCTTAGATGGTGCAATTACAATTAAATGCAAAATGCTGACATCAAATTCTCCACGGCTACGTTTACCAAGGACAAAGTGTGATCGATGTGTACGTAAACGAATCTAACACTGTCGGGAACGCGCGCCACATTTTTGAGCTACGCCTCAATGATTACGCAACAAAGGAGATGTTGGGACTTGTTTGAAGCATTCCAAATTTAAAGCAGCAACATATAACGACGCTACAAATTTCGGCCTCAGAATGTTGCAAGCGCTTGCATAGGCCTTCAGCTATAGGCAATAATGGAAGAACCTTTTTGAATCATGGATCTTTTTTTGATTCTGTTTAACTTTGGGTTGGATTTCTTTCAGTGCGGAGGTTTAGGAAACTGAAGAAGGGATCGATTTGCCTGTGAGATAATAGAAATTTTGCAGTGATCTTTAAGGAGTGCAGTTGCTTTCTATCTTTTCTAACTTGTTGTAAAAAGCGAGAAGATAATAATTGTTCACTTAGGAAATGCAGTAGTGAAAAATTCCATTCTCAAAGGAATGTTTTATGATCCCACTAGTTTTGTTTTGGCGTTTGTTTTGGTTTGCACTCGTCTCTGCCGTTCATTCAGTTGTTACCATTCATTCAGTTGTTACTGTTTGTGCAGGGAAGACATCTGTCTCTTATTGAAACTCCTGTTAAAGTTTCCAAAGGTATTATAACATAGCGAGGGCCGAAGCTCCTTTGCTTGTAGATAACATATCAAAGAAGATATTCCCCAGAACGTGGGAGGTTTTCCTTCGCTTTCAAACGAAACGAAGCGAAACATAAACAGATCCTTCACGAAAACATCCACGCAACGCGCGAGTAGCATCGATCCGCGAAAAAACTGGGTACCATGTCTAAAAATAACTTAAGAGGGATTACCTCGGGTAGAAGGCCTATATGTGGGATTCACTCGCTTACCTTGATGATCTCTTGATACAGAGCAATTCCCACTGCAGAATAAGAAACAGGCTCTGAATACGTGAACGTAGGAAGAAATCGTACAAATATGTATTAATGATCACGGAACTATTATGGAATTATTGCGAATATACAAGCTGCTGCCTCTCCTAAACGAGTACGGGAAGCGCCGGTTTTTGTGTTTTTGTTTTGTTTTGAATTCAATTTTCTTGAAGAGAATAGGCTAAGACTGACAAAATTCTCAGGGAAGGGTCTGTTCCAGAGGAATGACGCACACTGCAGTTGTCCTCTAGCTCTAGAGTGCTTTTTCTTAATTGCCCAGCTCCGTCAAAAACACTTTCTCTGCTTACGGTCTTTAATTTTTGACACTTTCAGCAAAATGACGAGAGTAGCACCTGCCGGCATCTCAGGAGCTGATAATCGCACGGACGATTTCATAGCGTGCTGTGGTTTCCTTTGGGAATGTATGAAGTTCATATCAACTTGCTTCGAATTCTTCAGCTGTATTACAGGTTGCTGTGGTTGAAGCTGTGGCTGCTAGAAAAAGGTAGGAACTAAACATAAATAATCGCGGTTTATTTTCTTCTTGGTTTTGTCTTCTAGTTAGTGGGTTTTCCTTTCCCATCCAGGGGGGAGTAGAAATGCTCCTAGTCGCTTCATGTTACGGAAACCGGGATAAGTTCCGGCCTGATGGGCCACTTGGCTCGCATACAGACTTTTACCCCTCTGGAAACTTTCCGATTTCCATCCATAAAGAAGAGAAAACCTTCAAAATTTCAATCCAGTGTTGAGCTTTCATCAATGTCTTGTTACCTTTGTTTCAGCTTCTTTAATCGTCCATTAATATTGATAAGAGTGAATTTTCACCTAGTCACGTAGTCACGCCATAAGTCACGCACGTGCTCCTGATTCACAAGCCTGGTTAACCCACTTATCTGAACCAGACGTTTGACTTTTATATCAAACACAGTAGTTTACCTCATCGGCGAAAGTAGGGTTTTAAGCCTGTGGGAGTACTCCACCGGATGAATGCTCCGTAGAAAAAGGGGCCCTTACGCCGCGAAATGTAACAACTAACGAAAAATGTAAAAAAAATCTATCACTCGAATTGTAACGAATTTTGACGCAAAATGTAACAACCTCTTTAACGCGTAATGTAACCACGGAAAATGTAACAACTCTGATCTTAGTATATAAAGGAGATTTAGACATATTAGTCTTCTTGTCAAGCTTAACATCGCCTATCGCCAGTCAAAGTATATAAACTTACTAGTCACTGGTCACATGACCAGCTCAAAATTTCCTCTCGTTGAATAGAGTGTGTCCATTGTCACGCAATAAAAAATATAATCAAAAACCATTCAGTGGATAAAGTCAAGAAATTGTGATATTATAGACGATAAATAAAGAAGACAGTTCTCCCAGTTTAAGGTGTGTGCGTTGTCCCAAAATTGAGATATTCGTCGAAATGTTCCGCGCAAAATTATAAAGTCTAATATGGAGCCGCCATGTTGGAGGACCTCCTTAGTCCTCCAATATGGCGGCCGGAAAATAGCCGTGTAAACATCTGGAACTTACTTTGGCTATCTAGTCAACTGATTATCTGAACCGAACCAAAAAACGTTTACATTAGCACTTTTCCTAATACTTTAACTCCTAAATTAGCTAAAAATCAGGAGATAAATGTATATTTTTCGACATACGCGATCTTAGCTTCATGTCATTGGCCGCCATAACTCTGAAATTCAAAATGCGCTGGTTTCCAAACGAAGCACACCATTGATTTGGAAAGTTGTTAACGGATATAAATTTTGTACCTCTTATGCCTGATGAGGATAGAACCTTTAGGGGCTCTTTAGTTTTGGATTTGAGAATTTGATGACGTCACGTGCACATACTCTAGTAGTTTTAGAAGAATTGTTCGTGTTTGTCATGTCAAGTGTGTGTCCGTCCGTCCGTGCTCTAAGGATGAACGACAACTTGGTATCCTCTAACGATAAACAACAACACAACATGTCCGAAGGCAAGAATAATTACTAACACCTATCAGTCACAGTTAGAGACGTTAGAAGTCACGTTATGATGTTAGCAAATTGCTTTTATTTCTGTTATCACACACCGTAGAAGAAGGAACCTTGGAGCCCTGCTCAATGTCTTCGTTATTCGAAAAAAAACTGATGGGCTAGTATATTGACTGGGTAAACTATAGCACTGAGAAAGGTGAACAATTATTTCTACAATGTAACAACTATTGTGACCCTTTGCTCCTCTTTCCCACTTTACCTCTATTGGTATTGACAGTAACATAAACAGCGGTTTTTAAAGTTTATGAGGTTTCGACCATCATAGGATAATAGCTAAAGCTGTGCTGAAGGTTGCTGTGACCAAGTGTAGCCACCCAAACACAGTGAATAAGGAGGAAATGCTTGCAGGGTGATTGGAAATTAAGGACATTCGCGCTAATTGTTTCTGCGGATCCTTACTGCGCACGCAAATTCACACGCCACGTTATACATGAGAGCGCGCGCTAAGTAATAAAATGAACAATGATGAGGCAGATGATAGCTTTGTCTGCTTTTAACGATCTTGGACGTTTGGTGACCCCTGTTCTTCTTTTGATGGATCATTTTCTCTACCAATTTTCTACGTTTAGTGAAAAAATGAAGAAAATCAATCAACTAGAAGTTTGAATTTTTTTGCAAAATTCCGTCCTTTTTAGCTCCTCGTTTATCTTTTCGGCGGTTTCAAATGCCTCTTGAATGGTTAAGTTTTGTGAAAACGTTGGAAAATTTGGAATTATTTACGCAACAGACCCACCTCTACAAAATATGACAAAGATCGTTTGCCTCCGTTGAATCACCCTCGATATTTTGAATTATAAACCCCCGTAGACCATGCTGAATTACGTGCGCCAATTTTTCAAACTCAAGGTATGTTCCCACACGCTTTATCTCCAAAACGAAGTGGTGACCGTCTATTTTTTTTTTTTTTTTTTGCATTTCTGACACAAGTAACTCATTATCTGACTGCAGTAAAAATTTTAAAAAAATCTATTGACAGGAAATTTTCGCGCGAACGTCCCTAAGCTTTACTAGTAATTTATAATATATCGAGAAGGTTGTTACATTTTGCGTTGTTACATCTCTTGTTAAAGAATAAAATAAATTGTTTTATTCTGGGTCAAGAGCTGTGGCAGTTATTTAAAGGTTGTTGCATTTCGCGTCAATGTTATATTTTCCCTAGGTGTTACATTTTGCGGCGTAACGGTACCTTATTCAGGTTACTGGAGATATACAAAAGGGTACGTGGGGATTTCACGAGTTATGACATAGAATACAGGGATAGAAAAGCTGCCATTCAGACAATTGAGAGGGTCTTTAAAATGTATCTTAAAGAGACTTCTCTAACGGCTGATCCATTTTTGCTCAGTTATTAACCGTAATGTCTCTAAACTTTCTTCTCAATATTTTGCAGGTTTTGTTGTCTTGCTTCCGTAGTTATCAGTATTTGATGGGGTGCATTACCATTGACGACTGTGATAGATTTTTGTGTTGTTGTCTGAGTGTCTTATGAATAGGTCTGACTGTAAACTGGAATTCATAGGCAAATGAGTGTCTCAAAAGTAGATATGTTTCTAAACCGAGATAACATAAACATATGGATCACAAAGAAGTCACCCTACAATCCTGGCCAAAAGACTTAAAACACTTACTTTCACGTGGGTCAACTTTATTACCAGTAAATGATCATTTTTTTACTACTTTCTATGCCATCTGTTCCAAAACAATATTCGGACTTGGGTCGAGTCAACTGACGCCCACAGGGACAACATTTTAAGGGGCGGGGGAGGGGAAGGGATTTGAATTACAGTTGACTCCTTGTTAGTCGAACTATCGCTAACTCGAATCTCGCCCTAACTCGCACCAAAATTGATTCCCCTGGATTAGCCCGTTACATTTACTGTAATTGTACTCGAACCCCTTTGCTTAAGTGCAGAACAGTACTCTTTTACGATCTTTTGTCCCATTTTGTTAGCAAAATATCATTTCGTTTTTAAGTTTGTATTCGTAATGACCCTAACTAAATACATTGTTTGAAGACTAATCAAAAATGTGCGTAAAACATTGTTTCCCTGCTAATTTTTAGCCATTTCTGTCATTTCTAACAATACTTAAAAGTTTTAACATTTGTTTTGACGGTTCTAGTTAACAGAAGTCAACTGCTATTGTACACGTTGAAAGCGAAGACTTGACAAGACTTGTGGCGAGGATTGTAGCTTGTAAAAACACACATATACTACCTTGTACTGCAAAGGTTTTTTTTACTGCACGGTATTCTAGAGAATAGCTGATGTTCACATAACAATAAAGAGCCTCAGTTCAATGTAACTTTGTTTTACATTCGCTAATTCACATTTGTAATCAAGCTATGCCGGTTTGGAATAAACTTAGTCTGGAAGTAGAGTCTTGTTTGAGAGTTTGTAGTCCGTTTGAAGTCAATTCGCTGCAGGCATTCAGATTCTGGCAAGAGATTATCAAGGTAAGAGAGTGAATACCCCCTGTAGGCCTTACATCCAAGGTCATCCCTCTTAATTTATTTTAAGTTGTACCCAGTTCTTACGCGGATATTACTCGCGCGTTGAGTGGATGTTTTCGTGGAGGATCTGTTTATGTCATTTCGTTTCGTTTCGTTTCGTTTCAAAACAAAGGAAAACCTCCAACGCTGTAGGGATTTCTTCTTTGATATTTTGATAACAAGCAAGGGAGCTTGGGCTCTCGGTAATACATTTCGAAACTTAAATAGCAGTTTAAATAAGAAACGGATGTCCCCTGCACAAACAATAACAACTGAATGACCGGCAGAGAAATGTTTAGACAAACGAGTACAAAGAAAACAAACGCTCAAACGCAAGCTAGGCAACCGAAAAAACAGATGATCAAAAGTGCAGGCAGACGCTCGCTGTCCAAGTAGCAGAAAGCAGTTTAAGTAGCAACGGCAACAACGCCAAAGACAACGTCGATTAACAAACGACTTAATATTCAACCTACGAATCTCGCGAGTTCAGGATTATTCAGTTTGTATACACCGTCAGAAATGTCCTAGACAGAATATATGAAAGAAAGCGTAAAAATTCGAAAAAGAAATTTAAAAATTGGCTGTCTTATAGTTCACGTTCTCTCAAATAGGGTTTAGGGTTAGGAGTGGACTGGAGTGGAGTGGACTGGATTTGTAAAACATGGAGTGGATTTGCAAAAGGTGGATTTGTAAAGGGTGGATTTGTAAAACATGGATTTGTAAAAGGTGGATTTGTAAAACATGGATTTGTAAAAGGTGGATTTGGAGAAGGTGGATTTGTAAAACGTGGATTTGTAAAAAAACGATGATTTAAGATTAAAGCGCACGTCGAGAACAGTACGGATTTTTTTTTTCGCGCAGATCAAATCGGAAACCGTGCAATAAAAGCTAAAGATTGTGGCACCCATGGGACAATAAGCGGCAAGAAGGTAACAGTATTGAAAGAAAACCGGATGTTATCCTACAATATAATTAACCAGAAGTTTGTTCAAGCGGCTAACAAAATCCAATGTTATTTAATTCCGTAAATCTTTGCATTTTTAGTTTGTGCAAAAGGTGGATTTGTAAAAAAATTGTAAAACAAACGTAAAACATTAAACTTTATTTTGTTTGCAGATCCTTGTGATAACAATGGGGTGACAGGCTACACAACTCCTATCCACGTGTAATAGCCGCTTTGATCTGCCCCTTTTGTATAGTACGAGAGGGGGATCTTTGAATACTTCGCTAAACAATAATCTTGTGCTTTTAGGAGGACATTTCACCAGAGTAGAGCCGTTAAAGGTCATGGGTCTGTGTGGTTTCCGCTGTTATCTATGTGTAAATTGTAGAGTTTAACATCTCTGTTTTTTGCCACGCGCTAGGGTTTTTTTTTTTTTTTTTTGGCTCATTTGTGTTGCAAGATGTGTTTTAAGCTCTCTAAATATTAGCTCTGGAGGGACAAAGTTTGAAATATTCTGTGAACATGTTGGTTACTTGCATTTTGTATTATTACGCCGGGTCGGGCTGTTTGATTAACTGTTGCAAGTTATGCTGCTTCTTATCACGGGTGTCAATTACAGCGGAAACCACACAGACGGTGACCTATGACCTCTAACGGCTCTACTCTGGTGAAATGTCCTCCTAAAAGCACAAGATTATTGCTTAGCGAAGTATTCAAAGATCCCCCTGTCGTACCATACAAAAGGGGCAGATCCTTAAAGATATACCATTTCGTGCAAAACTTTCAAAGCGGCTATTACACGTGGATAGGAGCTGTGTAGGCCTGCCACCCCATTGTTATCACTCTCGATTTGATCTGCGCGAAAAAAAAATCCGTACTGTTCTCATCGCGCGCTTTAATTTTAAATCATCATTTTTTACAAATCCATGTTTTACAAATCCACCTTTTACAAATCTATGTTTTACGAATCCACCTTTTACAAATCCATGTTTTACGAATCCATGTTTTAAAAATCCATGTTTTACAAATCCATGTTTGACAAATCCATGTTTTACAAATCCATGTTTTACAAATCTGTTTTACAAATCCACCTTTTACAAATCTATGTTTTACGAATCCACCTTTTACAAATCCATGTTTTACAAATCCATGTTTTACAAATCCATGTTTTACA